TATATATATATATATATATATATATATATATATATGTATCTATATATATATATATATATATATATATATATATATATATATATATATATATATATATATATATATATATATATATATATATATATATATATATATATATATATATATATATATATATATATATATATATATATATATATAAAGATTAAAGGACTCCAAAACTAAATTCAAATCAATTGGAAAATGAAATTTTACTTGTCCCACATCGATTACCGACCAAAAATTCTTTATCAAACACAGTTATAAATACAAGTATACAACATCAATTTCACAACGTGTTTTTGGCGCCAAAGACTAAATGTGTGTAATCACACATTTTCATTACCTAGTTTAGCTAAACCCAACTACCATGACGTACATTATTTGTCGGTATATAAATTAGATATGTTGCAAATATTTTCCAAATTAAATGGGTATTTATTTGCGGTAATAATTGCATATGAGAAAGGTAATAATTGCATATGAGAAATCCCAATTTATATATTTAGAGTAGACATGAAAATCTTGGAAGGAATGTATACTTATCAAACAAACAAATGAACAATCCCAGGTTTTTTTTATTTCAAAACGTAACAAACTAGTCAATCACGTATCTTTGCCTCGAAATTCCATTAAAACGAAGAAACAAATAATTCACTCCCTTTTGCGGTTTCGTAGATGCTACACCTACACCTGGTAGTACTTTTCAGCGAGTGTAGCATCTCATAAACCCGTACTGCGTATAAATAACACGTGATATTTTATTTGACATGTTACCACCGTCTCATATAATAGGTTAAACTATTTAAAAAATAGAATTATTTCATATTTATTACATATAATAGTAATTTAAACTCATTATATATAATATTTTTTTATACATACAATTCAATTGCTCAACAGCCTTTTTATGTTTACAACACAAAACATAAATCCATCCTTGGAATAGGACAAACACAAAGAGCATGCAACTTGGCTACTCATCCTTCACGCCAATAATTCCAATTTATCATGAGTACTTTTCCTTTTTATTTAATTTTATTTTCCTTAAAACTATCTATTTTCGCAATTTAATTCTAATCAAATTAACCTTAAAAAATAGAGATTAATTAGCAAGATTCTTTATTTACTTGATTTGAAATAATAGTGGGGGGTGGAGTTTCCGCAGACTTAGATGCTCACTCAAAGAGTACTACTCTTCTTTAATTTCATGATTCCACATTGTACTAAGTTCTAACCACCTTTTAAATCAAATCAAAATTAAATTCTATGTGGGATAAATCATTAATGCCTCAACTTAAATTCAAATGCCCCACTTTTTTTTCTTTTTTTTTTAATAAAAAAAATAATTTTCATTTTTTCTAAATAATTATATTGTGGTGGCAACTACTATAAATGACTTGTGGGATTAATTTAAGTTTGACTCAAACTACATAAACTTCTTCTTTTCTTCCCCTCTCTCTCTCTCTCTTCTCACTTTTTGGCTATCATTTTCGATTTCATAATCATGAATACAAAAGGTAGGATAAATAACCCAAAATCAAAAAAATTATATGATGAATTATCTGATAATAAAAGTGATCATGAAGAGCTAAGAAGGGGGCCGTGGACCCTTGAAGAAGACAATCTTCTCATTCAGTACATACGTTCCCATGGTGAAGGCAGCTGGAATTCCTCCGCCAGATTTGCAGGTAATATTATATAATTATTCTTAAATAATAATTTCCCACACGTGTCTAATTAATTATATTAATATTGGATTAATAAAACCTTAAAAAAAAAACATTGTTTTTTTTTTTTTGGAATGAAAGGGCTAAAGAGAACAGGGAAAAGCTGCAGGCTGAGATGGCTGAATTATTTGAAGCCAGATATAAAGCGCGGGAACCTCAGTTTACAAGAACAGCTCTTGATTCTTGAACTCCATTCCAAATGGGGAAACAGGTGTGTGTGTGTGTGTGTGTATATATATATATATATATATATATATATATATATATATATATATATATATATATATATATATATATATATATATATAAAGATTAAAGGACTCCAAAACTAAATTCAAATCAATTGGAAAATGAAATTTTACTTGTCCCACATCGATTACCGACCAAAAATTCTTTATCAAACACAGTTATAAATACAAGTATACAACATCAATTTCACAACGTGTGGGGTGGCGCCAAAGACTAAATGTGTGTAATCACACATTTTCATTACCTAGTTTAGCTAAACCCAACTACCATGACGTACATTATTTGTCGGTATATAAATTAGATATGTTGCAAATATTTTCCAAATTAAATGGGTATTTATTTGCGGTAATAATTGCATATGAGAAAGGTAATAATTGCATATGAGAAATCCCAATTTATATATTTAGAGTAGACATGAAAATCTTGGAAGGAATGTATACTTATCAAACAAACAAATGAACAATCCCAGGTTTTTTTTATTTCAAAACGTAACAAACTAGTCAATCACGTATCTTTGCCTCGAAATTCCATTAAAACGAAGAAACAAATAATTCACTCCCTTTTGCGGTTTCGTAGATGCTACACCTACACCTGGTA